ATTTCTCTGATCATTAGTGATTTAGAGCATTTTTTCATGGCTATAAATATCTTTGATTACTTTGTCTGAATACTGCCTGTTCATATCCTTTGATCATTTATTAATTAGGGAATGGCTTTAATTTTTATAAATTTGTCTTGATTCTCTATTGGGGTATTTATCAGAGATGCTTGCTATAAATTTTTTTCATACTTGTGATTACTAACTGTATTTCCCTCCATCCTGTTTTCCTCCTGTTTATCCTACATTTTTTTCCTTTTCATCCTGTCCATCCTCAAAAGTATTTTGCTTCTGACTACCACCTCCTCCAATCTGCCCTCCCTTCTATCAGCCTCATCCCCCCTCACCCCAATCCATTTCCCCTCCTACTTTCTTGTAAGGTAAATTTCTATACCTAACTGAGTATATGTATATTATTCCCTCTTTTAGCTAGTTCCAATGAGAGTACCATTCAAGTTCTCCTGCCCACCTCCTCCATCTTCCCCTCCATTGTAAAAGCTCTTTCATGCCTCTTGTAGGTGAGATAATCTACCCCCATTCTACCCCTCCCTTCCCTTTTCTCCCAGTATATTCCTCAATCTCCTCCCCCCTTTTTTTTTAGGTATCATCCCATCATATTCAACTCAAACCCATGCCCTCTGTCTGTGTATACTCCTAACTGCCCTAATAATGAGAAAATTCTCAGCAGTGACATCTTCCAATGTAGGAATATAAACCCTTTAATCTTATGAATTCCTTCTGATTTCTCTTTCCTGTTTACCTTTTTATGCTTCTCTTGAATTGGAAAGTCAAATTTTCTATTCAGCTTTGGTCTTATCATCAGGAATAAGTATGCATCCCTCCCCCCTCCAAAAAAAGATTATACTCAGTTTTGCTGGGTAGATGATTCTTGCTTTGCGCTCTGGTATAATGTATTCGAAGCCTTCCAGTCTTTTAATGTAGAAAATACTAAGTCTTATGCTATCCAGACTGAGGTTCCATGATATCTGAATTGTTTCTTTCTGGCTGCTTGCAATATCTTCTCCTTGACCTGGGAGCTCTGGAATTTGGCTATGATATTCCTGAGAGTTTTCATTTTGAGATCTCTTTCAGGAAGTGTTTGGTGGATTCTTTTAATTTCTATTTTACCTTCTGGTTCTAGAATATTAGGACAGTTTTCTTTGATAATTTCTTGAAAGATGATGTCTAAGATCTTTTTTTGATCATGGCTTTCAGGTAGTCCAATAATTTTTAAATTACCTCTCGTGGATCTGTTTTCCAGGTCAGTTGTTTTTCCAGTTAGATATTTCACATTTTCTCCTATTTTTTTTCATTCTTTTGACTTTATTTCATTATCTCTTGATGTTTCATGGAATCATTAGCTTCCACTTGCCTAATTCTAATTTTTAAAGAATCATTTTCTTTATTGAGCTTTTGTACCTCCTTTCCATTTGGTCACATCTACATTTTAAGGAGTTCTTTTTTTTTAAATGAATTCTTGTACATCATTTTCCATTTGGCTTATTTTGCTTTTTAAGGCATTCTTCTCTTCATTGGATTTTTTGTGCCTCTTTTAGCATTTGGCTTGTTCTATTTTTTTTTTTTTGTGAGGGCAATTGGGGTTAAGTGACTTGCCCAGAGTCACACAGCTAGTGAGTGTTATGTGTCTGAGGCCAGATTTGAACTCAGGTCCTCCTGACTTCAGAGCCGGTGCTCTATCCACTGCGCCACCTAGCTGCCCCTGCTTATTCTATTTTTAAGGTGTTATTTTCTTCCTTTTTTTGCCTCCTTTCTCTTTTTTCATGATTTTTTGCATCAATGTCATTTCTTTTCCCTAATTTTCCTCTAACTCTCTTATTTAATTTTAAAATATTTTTTGAGCTATTTAAGGAATTCTTTTTGGGCCTCAGACCAATTCACATTTTTCTTTGAGGCTTTGGATGTAGTAGTTTTGACTGTTGTCTTCTTCTGAGTTTGTATTTTGGTCTTCATTGTCACCAAAGTAATTTTCTAGAGTCATTTTTTTTTGTTCTTTGCTCATTTTTCCAGTCTATTTCTTGATTTTTAACTTTATATCAAACTTGGGCTCTGCTCCCAGGTTGGAGAGGGTGCTATCCCAAGCTTCAGATTCTTTATACAGCTGTTTTCAGAACTAGTTCTGGGGGGTGTCTCTAAGTTGTCAGTTCTTCAAAGGCAGTGTGATCTAAGAAGTATGTTTACTATACTTTTTTTTTTGCTTTTTTTAGGCAATTGGGGTTAAGTGACTTGCCCAGTGTCACCCAGCTAGTAAGTGTCAGGTGTTTGGTATGAGGCCAGATTTGAACTCAGGTCTTCCTGACTTCAGGGCCGGTGCTCTGTCCACTGCACTACCTAGCTGCCCCTACTATACTTCTGGCCTGTGCTCTTGTCTGTGAGCAACCATAAGCACTCTTTTCTGCCCCGAAACTGTGACCAGGATCCTAGATCCCCTGTGGCCATAAGCTCTGGTGGCCTAGTGCTTTTCTCTGCCTTGGGACTGTGACCAGGATATGAGTATGGGTAATGCAACTGCACGCAGTGCCAACAAAGGGCTTTCTATAATCTCCTTCTGGCCAGTTGTCCATCCCCCTTCCTGTCTGTGGGCTGAGACCTCCAGAAGCAGCCACTGTGGCAGCTGATTCAGTCACCTCCAGGCCTGCTGCAGGCTTCCTGTGGCATAGCCTGTGCTGTACTGGCCTAGCTTGAGCTGGACCATGCTCCATTCTCCCCCTGATACAACAGACCTTTCATGACAACCTTCTAACTTGTATTGGGCTGGAAAAGCACCTTTTTCTTGTATGGATTCTGACACTTCAGAATTTGTTTTGAAGCATTAAGTTGTTTGGAGGGGAATTTGGGAGAACTCAGGAGAGTCCTTGCCTTTTTTCCACTATATTGACTCTGACCCCCCCCAGACTCTTAAGAGAGTAGTTTCAACAGAGTGATGAATGAAGGGTTTAAGGAAGCGGGGTTTTTTTTTGTTTGTTTGCTTGTTTGTTTGGTTAGCTTGTCGGACATCTCATTTACATGTTTCCTCATAGAGGTGATCCTGACTTATTGAAGACTAGGCCAACAGAACATAAACTCTGGCATATGGGAAAAATTGTGAGTAATGGCCTTGGCAACGCAGACTGAGTCAACTTTCCAAAAGGCCAGCCTAGCTAAATATAGATAGGCTCATCACAAGTAAACTGCACACTAGATGACACATGCAAAAAACATAAAATGAAGAAAAATACAAAGAGGTCCCCATTTTTGTGTGACCTCCTTCTGTTTCTTCACTGATAATGGGAGAATGATATAAAGAAGAACAGATGGTGTTAAGAATTAGACAGTTTGAGACCATCCATAAACATTGACTTAAATGTTGGGCATCCAAATCTTTGTCCAATGAGCAATATATACTATTATCAGTAGAGGGGCTGCTAGGAAGTACAGTTTTCCCAATGAGAAAAGAGAGCCTGAAGGGGAACAATAGGTAGGAGCCTTATGGGAAAGGAGAGACAGGGAACGTTGGAGCTATACAGAGAGGCACTGGGATGCAGATTCATTCTAGCTATGGGAACCAATTAAAAGTGATGGGCACTGCTACTCAAGACCAATTGTAATTATAAGCATTTGGAGCCTCGTCTTTATTGATGACCTGAGTAAGGAGTAAAATGCCTGGATAGAACTTGCCCTTATGTCTGAATATGCCTGCCTCATAGTGTTGGGACACTAGTGTCTTTATCCTCCCTCCCCTCCCTGGTGCTTGGTAAACCAGAACCACTTAACTTTTTTGGAGTTTCCTGTTCTTTTAAAATCTTGTTTATTTGCTATTTGTACTTTTATAATTGATTTTGTCTCCAAATAAAGATAAAATGCCTTTTATTATAGTTCCAAATGTGAGTTTGCTATAAGATAAAGAATTTTCAGTTGTTCAGTCTTTTTTCAGTCATGTCTGACTCTCCATGACCCCATTTGGGGTTTTCTTGACATTGTTTGCCATTTCCTTCTACAGCTCATTTTACAGATGAAGAAACTGAGGCAAACAGGGTTTAGTGACTTGCCGAGGGTCACACAACTAGTAAGTGTCTAAGGCTGGATTTGAACTGGGGGAGATGATTCTTCCCGATTCCAGGCCCAGCACTCTATCCACTGTGCCACCTAGTTGCCCAAGGCAAAGGGTAAGATGGGAAAATTCAGCGGGTGACTGAGTTTTGTTTTACTTTGTTTTTAACAGTATTCTGTAGAACAGAGAGATCAGTCTCTGCTCAATGGTTAGGGAAAGGAGATTTCTTCCCTTTCTGGGGGCTTTAATCTTACTGATCTTCATGAATATTTGGCACTAACAAATTCTCTAAAATAGAAGGGAGAAAGGAAAAAGTGAACCTGTGAGACCAATTGCCTTGGATTATAAAGAGGAAAAAACCCACGTAAATTCAACTCTTTGACAACTCAAAGAGGGGGCTTTACCAACAAATTGACATACTGCTGAAGGAAATGAATCCTATCAATTCCTGACACCTTTGCTGTAGCTGAAACTAGAAAACAAAAGGAAGATGCAGCTAAGGAAGGATCATTCATAGCTTCTCGTGTAGATGCAGTAATGGAGCTGAGATAGTTGATTTTATCATGTATCCAAAGGCACCAAGAAATACCATTTTATGGGAAGCTCAGTCATTTCTTATTGCACTAATCGTGGCAGACATCTACAAAAAGACCACGCTGAAGATAATTAAACCTGATGTGCCAAAATCTGTCACAGAAGGTGAAGTCATAGAGAAATTCTGGGCTTTTTTTTAATCACTATGTAGTCTTTATGACAACAATTGATATATACATTAAGGACATCCTTGATGAAAACATGAAAAGGGAACAGGTAGAATTTAGCAGATGCAGTTCTGCAGTAAACTACATCATTATAGCCATACAGTGGATTGAAAGGTACAGAAAACACAGAGTCATCAATGCTTATTGTTTGAATTTCTAAAAGTGTTTGATTCAATAGAGCAAAATCTTACCTTAAAGTTTTACCTCCAACAAGGTGTTTTTCATGCATGTAGTAAAAATCACACAAGAGACGTTAAAATATGTATCAGTATTCCTGCTGCTGAGGAAGCTGGAGTTAGTGGATCATTTAAATTTGGGTATTCCGACCTGCTGTAGGGTGAAAAGCAACAGAATAGCCATATTAAATATGGTACCAATATAGGGTGGGAGGGGAGAGAAGGTGGGGTAGGAGACTACCCTAAAGGAGGAGGAAATCAGCCCATCTCAGAAATGGAGCCAGTCAAAGATCTCATGATGATCAGTGATGGGGCTGGGCCCAGGAAAACAGAGCAGAGACTCCTGAATGAGTCAGTCAGTCAAGGAGCATTTATGAAGCACTTAATGAGGTCAATAATCACAACAGAATTTGACCTAACTATCCCCATGGGAAAAATCAAAGTTCCTATTGTCCAAACTGTAATATACAATTGAAGAAAGGCTGTTATTTAGACTGTGATATTAATGTGACTGGAGAGTCCATAGAGCTGGCTCAACAGTACAAATGTTTTGAGCAAACACTGGGAATAGACAGTGAATTGAGACTAGAATTGAGCACCAGGAGGAGAGCAAGTTGAATTACCTTTAAGAAATCATTCAGTGGTTTCAATAACCCCACAATTCTCCTTCAAACAAAGGCCCATCTTGTTTGGATTTTTTTTTAAATGACTCAGTTTTATTTTCAGTTTGAAATTCTCTTCCTCCCCCAGCCATTGAGAAGGCAAGAAATGCAGAGCTCATTACAAACATGAAGTCATGCAAAACAAATTTCCACATTACCCTTACTCCAGAAAGAAGAAGAATGCAAGAAAAAGAAAAAGAAATAAGTAAGCTTCAATCTGTATTCTGAGTACATCAGTTCTCTATCTCTATCTATTCCTTTAGAATTGAGGTGGGTCATTGAATTGATTAAAATTACCAAGTTCATCATAGTTAATTTTCTTTAAAGGCCCACTTCTTAACACCAATATTCTTCTGATGATAATGTGTGGCTGAAAATTATAAAATGCCACAGATTCCAAAGAATTAAAATTGAGAGTCATTTGAAGAGCAACATAGTGGCACATTTTGGATGTGAGTAGGCTACAACTAATAAACAATGAAAACTGTATAGGAGAAGAAGCAAAAAGGATATCAATCATTCTTACCCACATATGTTCTGCCTTTATGATTCCCCCAAGCCAGAAATGTACATTCTCCTCATTTACCCCTCTTTGAATCCCTGGCTTCCTTTACAACTCAACTCAGCTTGTACCTCCTGTGGGAAATCCTTCTCAAACCCCTTGTTAGTGTCCTCTTTACTTAGTAAATTATTGACATAAGTATATACATATCTTATATAAGTATATTTTGTACATATTATATATTTATGTGTTTACATATTGTATTCCCCAGTTAGAATGCAAGCTTCTTTTTTTTTTATGGAGAACAGAAAAATTTATTTTTTTTTTGAGTCCTGAAAATATCTTTTATTTATGACACACTAGTAATTCTAGACTCCTCCTTAGCAATATGGCAGGAGAAAAATAGAGTCAATTATCAAACACATATGAAGTGTTTACTCTGTGCTAAGTGTTCAATCATCAGACTTAGTGTTGAGGATACAAAGAAAGGGAGAAACAGGTCCCTGTCTGTAAGCAGCTGACATTCTAATTGGAGAAACCAAACAAGAAATTGTACATAGAAGTCACATACTATGAAAGTGAAAGGTAATCTTAGAGGAAAGGCACTCCTAGAAGGAGGTTCTTTTTTTTTTTAGTTTCTTATTTTTTTTTAATTTTTTTTACCCCTCCCCCCACCCCAAGATGGCATGCAGAATGCAAGCTTCTTGAAGATCATTTTTCTTTGTTTTTTTTATCACCAGGAACTAGCACAATGACTTACACATAGAAGTATATAAAAATTGCATACTATATTGGAAAAAGGGCATTTGGAAGAATTCCCAAGAAGCAGCAAAGGTCCAACTGAGGTTGCTTTAAAAAAATGCAATGGGACACCCAATTTTGTAATTCTCTGTCAGTGCACAGGAATCATGGAACAGGAATAAAGAAATAAGATGGTAGAAGTTACTGTGATATTTAAAAAGTCTGAGAGACATAATTTCTGGTTATTTTAATCATTTTATTAATAATGCCAGCATGTTTATTAATAAGAGGATGGTCATTTGGCCTTCTGTCTCTTAGACTAAAGACCATCATGGGCACGCTCAAGACTTGTACGCCCATTGGAAGACGGATGTTCCCAAGGGTGGCAATTAACTCTGATTAATAGTTAATGAGAGAATGAATAGTATAATGAGGGGCTGAACCTATTCAAATGAACTTTGATTATGTCATTTACTTCTAATCCCCCCCCACACACACATATGCACTGCACACTATCTTGGGCAATCTATTCAAAGAATTTATCCCCACCCGTACCTGTAGAGTCCAATGGCTTCCCCACCTGGGTGGGGTCGGAACAATATTGTTAAGAAAGTACCATCTCATTATGAGTACTGCCCTTCAAAAGACTGAACTTTTGAAATCAGGACTTTAGAAGAAGGGGGAATTCTGGATTTCCCCAGATTACTGGTTATTAATAATCATTTCTCTCATTATCAAAGGATAATGTCCATTAATTGCTAAGGGTAGAGCAAGGGACTCTTGTTTAATCACTACTGAGACAGTGAATTGCCAGATGACATTTATAAGCAACCAAAGTTAGAAAGGATGAGGTGGTCTGAGAGATTAGGAAGGTCAAGCAGTAATTGAAGGTCATAGTAAATCCAAAGAGTAATTTTAGTATGAGTTAGAGAATGGATGAAGTAATGTGGCAGAGGTGTTATTTTCAGTTATGTCTGACTCTACATAAGGGCTTCTTAAATTTTCTACCTGACCCCTTTTCCCGTTTTGGCAAGGTGTGTTGGAGTTGCATGGTCTGAGGGCATGGATGGTACAAAGTGCACATACTTTGTTCAGAACCAAGGCTGCAGTGAAGTTGTGCAATGCAACATGGGCAAGTGCTGCCAGAAGCACCTCAGATTCATTACATGTTTGGCTTTTAATTCGATTTTTGGTTGTTGTGTGTTCAGAGACCTTTTCCTGTTGCCAAATTTTTCACGACCCCCTGTGGCCGTTTAAGATGCACTGCTCCACAGACAAAGTTCATGGGTTTTTCTTGGAAAATACGACTGGAGTGGTTTGCCACTACCTTCTCCAGTGTGTCTCCAAACAGGGCTTTTGTAAAGTCATGCCATCTGTTTGTTGTGCCAAGACCTCATGTAGCAATACCAAAACTGTGTTATGATTTTTCCAAGTACCTGAAAGATCAAGGGTTTTTTCTCCCTGTTTTGTCATGTGGTATATATGAAAGATGGCAGTTCTTTGTATCTTTCCTAAGAATTATTGGGGGAAAAAATAAATAAAATGTAGATGAATCAAAACTACAAAAATAGCTGAGGTATTGGGAAGCAGAACACAAGCAGTGCTGGGTGCTTTGCCTGGTGGTCAGCTTCATCTAAGGAGAACAATATCGCCTCATGCAGCAGAAAGAGTGCTTGATTTGGAGTCAGACTACCTCCGTTCAAATCTCACCTCTCCCACTTACTGAACCTGTGTGACCTTGAGTAATTCATCTCACCTTTCTGGGACTCAGTTTTTTCATCTGAGGAGGTTGGATTTGAGCTCTTACAGTTCTGAGTCTGTGATCCCGTGGCCTCAATGAGTGGAAGCACAGCCTACTCTTGAGGACCTTAAAAAAAAAAAAGCAAATGGATAAAAATGAAGACATTTATTCTCTAAGAATTTCCTCAAGAAATGAGATGTTTAAGTCATGCAAAAGGGTTGCCACGATGAAGAGGCCAAAAGAACTAAATAAACCCACAAACACGATGTCCTAGTCAAGTAGGAGCATGCTGACCAACAGGGATGGCAATTTAAATACAGCTTGTTCACAAAACAAGACAGATGATGACAAGAGATCATGAATGATGTAGTGTCACAAAATAGGAAAAAGCAGTTGATGAGAAGATGAACTTGTAGAGGGATTGGCAAGAGAGGCAGCTAAATCAGATTTTTTTCCTTTAAACCAGACTTGAGATTTCATCGGATCATAGACAGCTAATAAGTGTCAGAGGCAGAATTTTAACCCAGCTATTCCTGACTCCTTTTCCATCCCTCTGTTCAAGGTACCATGCTGCCTCTATTTGTTTCATCAGTATACAGAGATCTAGTGAAGAACTTCAACCAGTGTAGATCAGAACCTTCTTTGGAACTCACAGTCTTAGAGGGTTTCCTGAATTACCCAGAGGTTAAAGTGCTTTGCCCAGGATCACACAGCCAGTGTGTCAGAGAAATGATTTGAATCCAACTCTATCCACTACAGCTGCCCCTCAGATTTTTTTAGCTTGGTTGAACAAATATTAAGTGCCTATCATATACTATGTTGGGTGCTGAGGAGTCAATGGTTATTTTGTTGTTGTTTTTAATGACAGTTCTTCCTCTCAAGGTACCTATAGTCTACTTAGGGAGGGGCTTGGGAAGCATGATACAACATGTATACAGATATTTATAATACAAAATAGAATGAAATAGGGTCAAAATGATAGCGCTGATGGAGCAATGGGACTCCTAAAAAAGGGTCCTTGAAATTTCCCACACATTTTAGAGCTCATATCCCTGATGTTCGCCTGAGGCATCTGGCCCATCCCCATATAATCCTTCAGCTGTCCTTTCATTGTGGCCCTCAACCCAGCCCAGCCCTTCATTTTCTGTTACCTCCAGACCACTCCAGGCTACTTGCCACTCCTTAATCCCATTCAGATCTTCCCAAAGTCTTTCTAAATAAAAATATCAATCTTATCCTCATCAAATGTACAGATTCTTAGAATCTGGCCTGCTTATATTGGTGTCAAAAATACCACAGACTCACTAAGAATCTCACTCACCCAACCAGTGTCTTAATAAACTTACGGTTTGGACTGAAAGAAGGCTTGAGTGGTCAGATTCTTTCAAGGCAGACTCCCACCCTGTGCCCTTGCATTTCAGGGTTCCTAGCACCCCTAGACTCCATCAAAATGACAAAATGTTCTATGAAATTTGAACACAAAGAGAATACTTTCAGTTGAGATCAGAGAAGGCTTCATAGAGAATGAGGCAACTGAGCTAAGTCTAGAAGTTTTGAATAGACAGATAAAAGGAAGTGGATTACAAGAGTGAGAGATGGTTTATGTAAATTTTGGGAGAAGGCATTTTTTGGCATAAAATTAAGTTCCAATTTGCCTGCAACCTAAAGTACACGAAGGAGGGTAATGTGAAATTCAGCTAGGAAGGCTAGTGGGAGCCAGGGCTGATCAATAATAGACAATAAACATTTATTAAGTTCCTATGTGCTAAGCACTGGAGATACAAAGATAAAAGAGACAGTTTTCTGCCCTCAAGGAGCTTACAGCCTAAGGGGGAAGAGAATACAAAAAAAGAAGCTAAAAAGCTGGGTAGGCAGGTATTCAATGCAGGGGAAGTGGAATGGAGAAGTCAGTCACAGAAACCCCAAAGTAGTGTAGCCAGGTGAGAAATGAGATGTCTGAGCAGGGCTCTCTCATTAAATGGAGGTTTAGAGTTCATGGCTTCACTCTCTAATCAGAGAGGTTTGGGATGGTGATGAGGTTGAGGACTAAAATTGATGGGATCTTGCAGGCTAATGAGGTTATCCCAATAATGAGCTTCCTGGGGCATGTTGGAGAAATCAGGGAAGTCCCAAAGTAGTGCAGCTTGGCGAGAAATGAGAGGATTCTTTTGCTTTGAAAACCCAAATACTCCAGGATCCAGTGACACTGATCTCCTTGCTGTTCCTCATGCAAGACACTCCATCTCTTGACTCTGTGCATTTTTACTGTCCTCCATGCCTGGAATTCACTACTGCCACATCTCTACCTCCTGGCTTCCCAGTCTTCCTTCAAGTCTTAGCTAAAATTCCATCTTTTGCAAAAAGCCTTTCCTGGTCCTCCTTAATATTAGTGAGATTTTCTTCATTTTGTCCTGTATGCAGATTTGTTTGCATATAATTGTTTGCATGTTACCTCTTCCCTCCCTCCCTCCCCTTTATATTGAGAGCTCCTTGCAGGGACTGATTTTGCCTTTTCTTTATATCTTCAGCACTTAGAACACTATGCCTGTGGCAGGTACTTAATAAATGCTAGTTGTTGACTTGACTTATTGACTTCAAAGATCTTGAATGCCAAGTTTAGGAGTTTGCATTTTATCCTAGAGTCATTAGGGAACTGCTGAAGATTCTCAAGCAAGAAAGTCACTTAGACAGAACTACTCTATAGGAAGAAAAATTTGGCTGCTCTGTGAAGAAAGCCTGGAGGTGGAGAAACCAGTTAGGGGGCTAGTACAACAGGCTTACATTTGTTACTGTGTGTCTGTGCTGTCTAGAATTAATTATGTTAAGCTAATAAAGAATAAAAGTAAATTTCTATACATAAGTACACAAAATCAAATGCACACACCACACACGCATACACACACACACACACACACACACACACAATATGAGAGAGGTGTAACTAGACAAGAAATATTCAGTGTAAAAATTCCCTTGGAGTTTTAGTAGATGGTAAACTTCCTGTGAGTCAAAAAAGTTAATTTGCTCTTACTTTAATTCATGGGAGCCCAGGTGTTACAAACAAGAGAGGTTACAGTCCTGCTATATTTTGCCCTGCCAAGATATCAGTAATATCATATTTAGTTCTAGGTGCCACATCATATGAAGTATGTCAACAACCAGGAGCATGTCCAAAGGAAAAGTAGTGACCAGAAGGATAAGGGAACTTGAAACCTCATCGTACCAAGGTTCAGACAATAGAACTGTGGATATTTATCCCTCAGAAGAGGGACACAATAGCTGTCTTCAACCATTTGAAATCTTGTCATGTTTTAAGAGGGATTTGACTTGTTTTGCTTGGACCCAAATGGCAGAACCTAGGAGAAACTGATGAAAGTTACAGAAGAAAATTCTGGCTTAATATAAAGGGAAAAAAACCTTCCTGATAATTACAGCTGTACAAAAATGGATTACTTGAGACCTCTCACTGAAGGTCTTTAAAGGGAGAATGGATAACTTCCACTGATAAGGTATTTCTCTACAGGCCCAGGATGAACTAGAGGATCGCTAAGATGTTCTTTGATGTTTAGTAGGGGATGAGTAATTTCTGATGGTTTTCTTACATCCATTACTCATACAAAGTTTCACTCTAGTGAGGATTACTGTTTAGTAAAAAATAACTTTCAGCTGAAGGCTTTCCCACATTCATTATACTTATGGGGATGCTCTCCAGTGGGATGTCTTTGATGTTGAATAATGCATGTGCTTAGGCTGAAAGCTTTCCCATATTAATTATATTGATAGGGTTTCTCCAGGGTGAATTCTCCAGTGCCAAATAAATTGTGTGTCCCAGACAAAGATTCTTCCACATTTGTTACATTTATGGAGTTTCCTCTCCAGTGTGAATTCTCTGGTGCCAAATAAGTGTTCTGTCTCAAAGATTCTTCCATATTCATTACATTTATGGAATTCAGCTCCAGTGTGAATTCTCTGATATCAAGTAAGGAAAGACCCGTCTCTGAAAGATTTTCCAACTGTGTTACATTTATAGGGTTCCTCTTCTTCACTAATGATTAATAAGGAATAAGTGTCTGAATGTTTTTCAACATTTATTCATTAACTTTTTCTTTTCAATATGGATACTTGTTATTTTAGTAAAGAATGAGCAGTGACTAAAAGAAGACCTTGACAGGTTCATTACACTTATGGAAATTCTGTCCAATAGGAATTCTCTGATTCTAAGTAAGGTATGTGAGTATTATCCTATTCACTTCCATTATCATTGTAAATTATGATTTTCCCAACAATAAGGAACTATGACACTGATGAAGATCTGAAGGCTTTTCCAAAGTCAATATGCTTACAAGGCTCTAAGAAGATCCTACCACATTTCATAGGGCTTAAATATGCTTCAGAGTTCTTTTTACATGTATCTGACTTTTATATACTATTGTAGAAATTCTTGGTTGAGAAATAAGAATTGCCTCTACAATTGATGCTTCTACCAAATCTATTATATTAATAGACCCTCCACTTATTAGGAATTTTACAATTGATTGTTGTTGCTTGAATATGTTTTTCCTGATATTGCTGCTGCCCTTCAAACTGACATCATATTCCTAGTCAAGGCAGCCACTAGAGGGAAGAGCTCTGCTAGCATTTTTAGTTCTCTACTTTCATCAGCAACAATAGTGGAAATACCACATTTGGACTTTGCTGCTTCTAGACCCAATGTTCTAGAAGTGGACAGCATTCTAAAAAAGAAGAACTTAGGAAGAGTGTCTGTACCTGACCTAGTACGCCAAAAGGAATCTGCACTGGACACCATAGGACTCTAAAACACTCAGGGATCAGTTTTTAAAATATTCCAACTAGGAAAATCTTGGACAACATCACATATTTTCTAGAAAAAATTTATTGATGGAGAAGACAATAGCAACACGTGATCCAGATGCCTGCTTTTTCATCTCTAGAAAATGAAGGACAGTCTACACACTGAGGTCATCATCAATGAAAACAGAATGGTTTTCACAGTTGATTTTTCAAGAATGGACTGCATCTTTCAAATTGCATAGGAGACTGATACTTAGAGCAACATGAAATCCTAAAGATTCTTCTCAGATAAAATGACTTATGCATATGCCAAAATTCTAATATAATTCTCCATGATGACTTCAGAGAGCATATACGTCAAAGGTGTTCACTAACACTGTAGTATATTGCTCTTAACAAATAAAGGATTTCCTATTGATGGTAAGTTATTCAGATGCTCTTATTCATAAATGTCATTATGTTAATGGCATTTAGCCTAGGAATTTCACAAAATGTCCTCAGAAAAATTCTGAGTAATACAAAAGAAATAAATGGGGCAAATCAGTAATGCTAGAAAAGCAAATTAGTGATGAAAAATGCATAAAGCCCCAATTGTGGCATACTATGGATGGTCAGCCATTTAAATTAGTTCATCAGTGTGTGTATCTTTTATAACTGCTACAAACAGATAAAGAGCTTGATACGGAATTGCGAAGAAAAGGGAGATCAGATGGAGAGACTGTCCAGGGCCTTGAAAGATCCCAAGCTGAAAATGCACATTTCTTTAATACCAATATCCTTTTGGTGGTAAATTGAGTTACTTGAGACCCCCTTATAGTTACAAGTCAGAAAAGACCAGGAAGTCATAATTAAAATAACATGCAGCTCAAAGGGCAATGAAAAATGTGGGATATGTATGACATAAGTAGAATGAAAGATAGTATCAATGTATATCATAACCAGAAAAGGAGATAAACTAATCACATACTAATGAGAGATAATAGATTAAAAAATTAAGTGGTGGACTGGTACTTCTGAGATACAGAAAGAACAATAGGATGGCCAATAAGGCATTAGGCAGATCCAGTATGGTGGTGTTTGTTCAGTTATTTTTCAGTCATGTCCAACTCTTCATGACGCCATTTGGGATTTTCTTGACAAATATACTGGAATGGTTTGCCATTTCCTTCTTCAGTTTATTTTACAATGAAGAAACTGAGGCAAGCAGGGCCAAGTGACTTGCTCAGGGCTACCCAGCTAGTGAGTAACTGAGGTCAGATTTGAACTCAGGGAGATGAATCTTACTGAACCAGGCCTGGCATTCTATCTACTGCAGCCCCTAATTGCCTTCTAGTATGGTAACATTAAGGGAAAACAGAATCAGGAGTGGAGAGGTTGAGATTCACATCAGTAAAGGGGGTACTCCCAAACAAATGAAATCACACATGCCTCAAAAGATTAAAGCAGGTTTATCAAATACTTTGTTTAGAAAGTATTTTTCTTTAGAAAAAGAGGCCACTTAACCTGCTCCCTTTCCTCCAGGTGAAACTATCCTAGGAAATTACAAATCTGAACCAACACCATATTTCAACAAAATGATGACACACTTCGAGCAGTTCCCCTCTTTTTCCTGTGTTTACTTTTCCCCCTCTTTCAGTTATTCTCTTTGCCTAAGATGGGCCTAAAATATGCTTTCATGCTGCCTT